TGTGCAGGGCCCACTGGCCCGGAGTGTTTGGAGGGAGGGGCTTTGGAGCCATCCAGGCTGTTCTTGCTGGCTGACGGAATTTTTTAGTCTAAATAAAGTTTTCCTGCTCTTCCCAGCTCCTCTCTAAACAGCAGCAGCGTGGGGGTGGGGGACAGAATCAGAATGGGTGATGTGAGGGGCTTGGATAGAGAAAAAATTTAAAAGGTAATGACGAGAGGAGAGGAGAGGAGAGGAGAGGAGAGGAGAGGAGAAGAGAGAGAAGAGAAGAGAAGAGAAGAGAAGAGAAGAGAAGAGAAGAGAAGAGAAGAGATCCTGCACACAGGTGACCCTGCAGGCAGGTGACCCTGCACACAGGTGACCCCGGGCACAGGTGACCCTGCAGGCAGGTGATCGTGCACACCCCGCGGTAATTTTGCTTATACGTCATTACCCGAACCAGACTATATTTTATTATAACCAAATTATACTGCCAATTTATTGAATGTATTCAATTTTATATTTTTTAACTATTTCATTTAAATTTTATTAAAATTATTGTTACATTTAATTTTGTTTGGCCTTTTATTTTGTGATTGGATAATTGGGCAAACATAACACATGTGACCCAGCACACATGTGACCCCGCACACATGTGACCCCGCACACAGGTGACCCCGCACACAGGTGACCCTCCAGGCAGGTGACCCCGGGCACAGGTGACCCCGCACACATGTGACCCCGCACACAGGTGACCCCGGGCACAGGCCGTGTCAGGTGTCCCCAGGTGTCCCCCCTGTCCCGGCGCTGGTCCTACCCCCCCATGGCAGGTCCTCCGGGCCGGCAGGGGGCGCTGTTGGCGGCCGCCATGGGCGCCGCCGTGCTGCTGGGCTGCGCCGCGATCGCGCTCGGGCCCGCGGCCGCGCTCGTGCTGCTGACGGTGGCGGCGGAGCCGCTGCTCGTCATCGTGCTGCTGGCGGGGTGAGCGGGGCCGGCCAGGGCGGAGTCTGGGAGGCCCTTGGGGGGTGCTCGGAGCGGTTGTGGCGGCTCCGCGGGACACCGGGGCGCTGTGGGTGCCGGGGGCGGCTGAGGGAGGCGTGAGGAGCGCTGAGGCGAGGGGGCGGCTCGGGAGCGCGGAGAGAGCAGCGCTGAGGGTCCCGGCCCGGCGGTACCGAGCTGCTCTGCCTGCCGCTGCCACCCCGGTGTCCCGTTTGCCCTCAGGGCGTTTTTCTGGCTGCTGTCGCTGCTCGCCGCCTCGCTGCTCTGGTCCGTGTCCGTGCAGCTCAGCGGGCGGGAGGACGCGGCGCTGCTGCCGCTCGGAGCCGCCGCCGCCGTGCTGCTGCAGGAGCTCTGCAGGTTCGGCTGCTTCAAAATGCTCAAGTAAGAGCCCGCTCGGGGAGCTGCGCCGGCGGCCGGGGTGTCCCAGGGCTTGGGGAAGCCAGAGCAGATGCTGGGGGTCTGTGTCCAGAGGAACCCCACAAAGTCTGTTCCTTGTTAAACCCCGGGAAGGAGCGAGTCTCTCCTCTCCCTTCCCCTCTCCCTGCGATGGGGCTCACGCTCTCTCTCTGGCGGGGCAGGAAGGCGGATGAAGGGCTGGCGATCCTCAGCGAGGATGGGCGGTCGCCGATCTCCCTGCGGCAGATGGCTTACGGTGAGCAGAGCCCGGGGTGCTGCATCCAGCTCTCCTGCCCTTCCCTGAGCCCGCCGGGGCTGTGGAGACCCCCTGACCCCGGCTCCCCCACAGTGTCCGGGCTCTCCTTCGGCATCATCAGTGGCGTCTTCTCCATCACCAACATCCTGGCGGACTCTGCGGGGCCGGGCACTGTCGGGATCCACGGGGACTCCCCGTACTTCTTCATCACCTCTGGTGAGGCCAGGGCCGTGGCATGGAGGAGGAGGAGGAGGAGGAGGAAGGCTCTGAGGGTCCGTGTCTCTCCCCACAGCCTTCCTCACCATGGCCCTGGTACTGCTCCACACTTTTTGGGGCATCATCTTCTTCGACGCCTGTGAGCGGCGCCGCGCCGGGGGCCTGGGACTGGTGGTGGGCAGCCACCTGCTCACCTCAGGGCTGGTGAGTCCTGGGGGGCACAGGGACCCCCACCCACTCCCCCTCACTCCCTGCCTAGGGCCATGGGTGAGTTACACCCCCTGCCCTTTGGGGCTTGAGGAGGTCAGTGAAGGATTTGGGTGCAGACAGCTCAGCAGGGGTTTGAGCTGGGTTTCCACTGGGCTGGGCACTCCTTTTGCTGCCCTAGGAGGGGTCAGAAGGTGTGACCTGCCTCTCTGTGTCCCCAGACCTTCCTGAACCCGTGGTACGAGGCCAGCCTGGGCCCCATCTTCATCCTCACGCTCTGCACTGGCCTCTGGGCCTTCAGCACCGCTGGTGGCTCCTTCTACAACGTCCTCAAGTGCCTCTCCTGTAAGGGGGGTGGGGTGCCACTTTTGGGGGCTGGGGAGGGTCAGAGCTGCTGGGATGGGGGTGGGTGAGTCTTGTTGAATGGGGGCTGCATTCCTGAAGGCTTCCACAAACCCCCACCTTCATAAATGCCCCTTTTCCCCAGGTAAGCAGGAGCCTGAGGGCCAGGCCATGCTCTACTCGGCGCTGCAGGTGCCTCCTGAGGGGTGAGGGAGCCGTGGCCCCACAGCCAGACACTCCTGCCATTGCCTTCACCCCTCCTGCTCCAGGGGAATCCGTGTCTGCCCAGTTCCTGGGGGCCTTTGGGGACTGACTGGTGCTCCCAGGGGGTTTTGGGGTCTGACCACCACGCTCTTCCCTTTGTTCCCAGACTCTCTTAACATCTTTCCCTCAGTTGGAGGCTCTGGGGAAGGCCAGGGATGCCCTGAGGGAAGTCAGGGCAGGACCCCCCATTTCCTCGTGTTTGTCACCCTGGGGGGGTCCCTGGTGATGCTCTGGGGGTGGGGGGCACTGGGACTGGGATGCTCTGCCCTTCTCACCCCTGTTCAGCTCCCAGGGGATTGGAGGTGCAGCGGGGGGTAAGTTATTTTTTTTGATTAAAAGTAAAACCCTTTTGTAAAAGCACGAGACACTGTGGCTGCTGGGAAAAAGGGGAGGAGGGAGAGGGGTCGCTCCCCCCATTGTGCTCTGCTCCCGGTTTCTTGGGAGTGATGGGATCCAGCCCCAAAGCCCCTCAAAGACGCCTGTTCCCACCCCACAAAGAACCACCAGGAGGGGGAAAAGGGCTTTATTTGGGGCTGGGGGTGGGGGGCTGGGGGTCGGCGCGGGCCGGCCCCTCCCAGCCCAGCCTGGGTCAGCGGGAGTGTCCAGCGTCCATGGGCTAGCGGCGGGAGGAAGCCTTGAACACCACGTCCTGTGCCTGCGCCCTCCTCGCGCTGCCAGGGCAGAAACCAGCGTGAGGGGGGGGTCTCTGCACGGAGCTCGGGGCCCCCCAGCTGCGGGGGTCCCTCTGAGGGCTGTGGGGAGGGGGTCTCACCGCATCCTCTTGGCCCCAAAGTGGACGGCGAGGAAGAGGCCGACGCAGCCGGCGACAGCGCCGAAGACGATGGCGATGACCTCACCTGTGTGGTGCCCGGGGGGGGTCAGGGGGGTCCTGGTGTGACCCCCCAGCCCAGCATCCTGGCCTGGCCCTACCTGTGGAGTATCCCTCTGGCTCTGCAAGGGAAAGGCCGGGGTCAGGGCCAGCACCTTGTGCTCCAGGAGCCCCGGGGGGGACCCTTCCCACCCCTCCGCTCACCCCTGGGGAAGGACGAGAGCACCGGGCGCTGGTTCAGCTCCTGCGGGGCTCGGAAATTGTCCACCAGCAGCTGGGGCTGCTCCTGCTCGCCCTCCTCCGTGGAGTAAAGGCTTCCCTGGAGCTGCTCCAGCTGGAAGGGGAAGGGGCAGCACTGAGGGGGCTGCCACACCCAGGGGGCTCCCCCCCGAGCGGGTCCTACCTGGGCGCGGCTGATGCGGACGGGCTGCGGGAAGAGGGTCCAGAGGACGCTCTGGAAGCAGGGCGGGGTGGTCAGGGAGCCGTTGTAGCGGTAGTAGCGCTCCAGCTGCGCGGGCAGCAGGTCCCGGATGCTGAAGGAGGGGATGGCCACGGTCTGCCCTGTGGGGGGAGCAATTTGGGGCGTGCTGGGAGGGGGATTTGGGGTTTCCTCCCTCCCTCTCCTCACCTGCGTAGCGGATGTTGCCGAGATGCCTCAGGATGTTGTCATAGGCGGGGTGGGGTTCATCTCCCACCTGGGGAGTGAGGGGCGTCAGTGAGGGGCTGGGGAAGCGCAGGTGGGTGGGTGGGTGGGGGTCGTGGGTGTGGGGTCCGTACCTCCAGGAGGACGCCGAGCACGGCCAGCCCGCCCGGGTGCTGCTGCGCTGCGCTGGCATCGGCGAAACGCTCGGTGTCAAAGTGCACCACGTGCATCTGCGGCACGGCAGGGACCCCCTGAGCCCCCCGCCTTGAAACCCCAACCCCCCTGAGTCCTGCCACCCCAACCCCCCTGAGCCCTGCCACCCAAAACCCCCTGAGCCCCCCACCCTGCCACCCCAACCTCTGCCCCGGCTCCCGCAGTGCCCAGCCCTGCTCCCGCTCCCCTTTCCCACCCTTTTCTTCTGCACCCCATCCCCTCCCTGAACTCTTTTCACATCCCCGAACCCATTTCCCTCACCGGAACCCCTTTCCCATTCCCTGCAGCAAATTCCCGCGCTGCAAACCCCTTTCCCACACTTCCCATGCTGTTTCCCACACCGACACCTCTCCCCACAACCATTTCCCACACAATTCCCATGCCATTTCCTGACCCCAAACCTATTCCATCCTCCTTTCCCACCCCCAGACCCATTTTTGGAGCTGTCCCCCGTTGTCCCCGGTACCTCGGCGGGGGCACGGTGCCCGTCCAGCAGGTGCTCGGCTCCAGCGGCGTGCCCGGGCCGGCCCCAGTGGAAGTGGAGCTGAACGGCGGCGAAGGCGCGGGGCAGCCCCCGGAGCCGCAGCGACGGCGGCAGCGCCAGCACGGCTGTGGAACACGGGGTCAGCGGGGCTGGGGCACCGGGGGCCGCCCGCTTCTCCCCCCGGCACTCACCGGTGTGGCCGTTGTTGGCGAGGGTCAGCTCGGGGCTCTCGGGGTGCTCGTAGCCCTCGGGCCGCAGCGGCGGCAGGGACGGGTCCGGCTGTGCCCGCGCTGTCGCGATGTCGATGGGTGACTGCGCCCGGCCCCCGCACTCCGGGTGTCCCTCGTGCCAGTGCTGCTGCCCGTGGGGACCTGGGGGGCACCAGACCCCCGTGGGACACCCCCCCACCTTCACCCCCGTGAGCCAAAACGCCCTCGGTGCCCCCCCCC